CTCCAATTGTTCTGAAAGGTCAACCCCAGAGCAGGACGCCCCAGCAGCAGAGAAGCCAAAGAACTGTAGTCGCTGGGCATCTGCCCCAGATTTCTGCCTATAAACATACATTCTGTGTAGTGAAAACCGAGAATTCAATAAATATTTCTGCTCTATTTGAAACAACAATGGATAATATTCATATTTTACAGTGGTAATGAAATACTTTATATTCCATCAGTAATTAAGGAAGATGCTAAAGAGAAACTGTTTAAGTAACAATTTTTATAATCTGCAGGAGGATAACTTACATCCAAGAGTATTTAATTGGCTAATGAGTTCACCGAACCATTGATTTTTTTATTTATAACAAATCATGGCACACTGGGGAACATAGGATAAGTGGTGGGAAAAACAAAATCCAATGTCTTGCCAGTGTTTAAATGTGTTCACAGGGATACCCAAGAAACTACAGAGCAGTTAGATCAACATACATCCCAAGCAGTCACAAACAAGCAGCCAAAGGATGTCCTGGGGAAATTACTAAAAGCTCGAACCCAAACTAATGTCATTCAAATTAATGCAATTTGGAAGAGGTACTTTCAAATTACTTTATGTAATTTTTTTGTAAGCCTACAAGTTTGATAGAGCTAACTAGATAGATATGGCATGCTTAGACTCCTGTAAGTCATTTGACTTAGTTCTGCATGACAGTCTAATAAGAAAAATTAGCTGTGTGCTACAGTCAGTATGATCAGTATTAGCAGATTTGAAAGAATTGGGTAACTGAAAAGACTTATTCTGTATAGCCATTTGACAGCTGTATGCTAGTTGTATTCTATTCACATATCAATGGTGTATGTTACTAGCAACCAGGGAGAAAATAAAAAAAAAAAATTTGCTGGTAAAATTATTGGGGTGGTTAAAAATGAATTATTGTGATGGTAAAAGTAACAGGTGGCACTTGCCCAAGACAACCTAATCTGGATTGCTTGAAACACCAGGTTCATGAAAAAAATGGTTTGTTACATCTCAATATAAGGAGCAATATATAGGAAAGAACATGAGGGCTTAATTTTACCACAGGGATGGCATCCTGGACAGTAATGAGTCTGAAAAACATTTAGAGGTCGTCCTCCTGCCAGACTGTGTACACAATCAAGTAATGTCAAATATGAATCTAAGGTTCCTGAGGCATTTGTGTGGATCTCACAGCCATACGGCTAAGAATAACTCTTACACTATCATAGTGCAACCACATTTTGGATGCTGTGTGCAGTTTTAGCCCCTCCATCTCAAAGCGATGCCCTAGGATCAGTAACGGGACAGGGAAAGCCTGTGCTTGTGGTTAAGGGTTGGGTGATGGCTTCCACGCAGGGAGTGACACAGTCGAATAGAACTACAGCCTGAGGAAGGAGAGAAATCACACGTATCTCTATAGTTTTGAATATCATAAAGAGGAACAGACTATAGTTGCCCACATATTCTTAGAATAGAGTTAAAGGGCATCAAATGAAACAAGAAGGTGACAGCGTAAAGACAAATAAAGGGACGTGATCAACACAATGTGCAATTAAGTTATTCTTGCTACAAGGCTATCAGAATGTTCAAATAGACATTAGTCCAAAAAGTGACTGGTCAAATTTATGGAAGAAAAAAAAAAAATCTCTCTACAACTGCTAAATACAAAGATGCCCTTTTGACTCAAAAGTACCTAAAATGCAATTTACTGAGCTCAGAGGTGGGGATGGACATCCTAGGGAAGGACTTTTCTATACTTGCTTTGTCCTTGTACCCTCCTGTAAGTACCATTGTGGTTTACTAGTCCACCCATTAAGGCATGTCATGCTCTTTACTGAGAAACAGGGAAGATCAGGTCGGAGTCGAGCAGATACCCGAGGCTGGGAATCCAGGGAGATGCTGATGCAGTTAAAGGAAGGAGGATACCAGGAACGGGTGATGCTGCAACTGCATGGAGAGGGTCAGGGTAAGACCCAGTGGCTACAGCTAGGATGGAAACTTCTGTCTAAAAATGGGATGGATTTTTTTCCCCTGAGCACACCATTGGACAGGCGCAGTGAGAACGTGGCAGTGGACTTGATTACTTCAGCCAGTCAGGAGGGTGTCTCTTGCTGATGGCTCTGCCAAAAACCAGGGTAGATGCTGGAGCAGGAACAGCAGTGTGTGCCCAGGAGATGTTCCCAGCAAACCTGGGACACAGAAGCAACCAGCAGCTGCCTGCACAGTTGGTAGAAACACATCAGAATCACATGCCCCTGTGCTAATAATGTCACACGCTTGCTGTCCTCAGTTAGACCATAGTCTTCACACTCAGGACAGCCAAATTTCCCTGGTGTAACTCCTGTCCCAGCAAGTACATTCAATGCTGCATTAGAAATTTCCCCTTTAGAAACCTGAGAAAAAGTAGCACAGCTTGTTATAGTGCCAAAATGTGCTCTGGAATACCAAACTTTTTAAATTCTGTTCTTGTAAAAGCTTTTAAAAATCAATTGCCAATCGATTAGCATAACTGAGTTAAACTCAGCGCATTTGTTCTCAACCTGCACTTAGCTTGAACTTTTCTGATTGTTTCAGTTCTGAAAAAGGGCTTGAGTGCCCAAAGCTTTTCTGGTGGGGTTTTGGTTTTTTTTTTTTAGTTGGTTGGTTTGTTTTTCCCCCTCCCAGTTAAATCAGTCAATCTGTAAAAGGTACTCTGCTTTTCCTACTAGCCTCACATTCCTTGACAATGGTTACTCAGCGGTATCCTTACATGCGATGACACTGTGCCCTTTTATTTTCAGTGAGAGCCCAGATGAAGTCTAGCCCGGAGACGTGTGCCCAGGCACAGCTTGCCCCTCGCAGCCCCCCGCCTGACCGCAGCCCTCCCACCTACGCTGGGATCCCCGTCTGCAAACCTGGTAGCTCTGAAAGGGACCCTGGAAACACGCCGCAGTCCCGGCATGGGTCCTTCGTTACAGCCGGCCCCTGTCCGTGCCGAGACACCTTTGTCCAAAGAGGGACCAGCAGTGCCTGGAGCTGCTCTGCCCCCCGTCTGCAGTGGCACCACACACTCCTGTGTCTGCAGAAACAAACCACTGTGGGTTCATCTCATTCAGCCCGAGCTGCCCTGATCACCCAAACACAGAGCAGACTTCAGAACCAGCAGAAGTAATCAGCAAGACCTAAGGTGCAGCTTTAAGCCTAAGAGCTGCAAGAAACAATTACAAAATAAAGCAAACCATTAAATTCAATCCTCCCCTGTCCTTAAGGTGATATTATCTTAGTGGCTGAGCATACATTACTGAACATACGTTATTGCTGGCATATGGACAGTACTGGAAAGAAGAAGGGCCGGTAAACCAGCCCCACGCGCACTGCTCTGCAGACTGTCTTCATACCAACAGTATCCCTTCAGGATAAGGCAATCCCAGTCTGTGCTGCTACCAAAAGGGACAGACCCTCTTTCTTTCTGCTCCTCCTCCAGTCACAGACACGATCTGGCTAACGATGAACACACTAAAGGGGGGATTAGAATGTGAGAATAAGACTAAGGGACCTCTTCCCATAAACAGATCACCCTGAAGAGCTCTGTGAGCTCAGCCACAGGAAGGTGGTGACTCCAGGCTGGGCTCCTGCTCTGGTTCAAGGGAAACGCACCACTCATCCATGGTAAGAGTACGGGCCCTTACCCAGGTATTTTAAAAGCTTTGACTCCACTGCTCTCTTCATCCCTGTTTTGCAGAGAGTCTTGCTACATCACCTCGAGCCAACACCTCACCTCTCTGCCCATGGATGTCATAAAGCACATGGATAAATCTTTTTGAAATATACCATCTCTATACAGCAATAGCAGTACCTGCACATACAGGCTGCCACAACTGATTTCCTCACACCTTTTCTAAGCCTGTGACGTGCAAACACATCCCCACTGTATCCTATCAGCATTCACGCTGTGGTGCATCACTGGTGTGAGTGCACTAGGAACAGCACACTGACCCTCACAGTTACTTCAAGCTTGCTGTCTCGGAGCAGCACGGTCTGGTTGTGTAAGGTGGTGATAATTAGCAGAGCAGAGCTACACCTTGTGTCCCAACAGGGGCAGAAAAAAACAGAAGGATCCTGTCTGTCAAACTGCTTTGCTCTGCGTGTTGCAGTGTCCTGGCGCTGATGTGGGTGTTAACAGAGTCCTTGAAAGAGCAGTGCACCACGAGGTGGAACCCGCAGTGCCACCCCAGGGCACCCTCTGCCACCCAGCACAGCTCAGGCACTCCTTGGCCAGAAGCTGGGATGGAGTTAGCTTACAGCAGATCTTTAAAGGATGTTTAATGCTTTGATTTCTTTACATCTGTGTCTAAATCGCAGGAACAAACGTTACCCTTCACCTTGCCTTGAGCGCAGCGCAGCCCCGGCAGCAGTGCGTGCACCCGCACTGCGCTCTGGCAGATGCTGCAGGGGCTGTCGTGGGGGCTGTCTGCTCTGTGCCCCAGGGACCGGCGTTCCCAGGGCACACTCCCTCCTTGCCCCACTATAATGTCCCCGGTGCTGACACAAGCACAGCTGCCCTGCACCAAGCTGCAAAGCCAGACAGCCCCAGACATCGAACCTGCACGGGAAGCATTTGTTTGGGAGGCCTCGGCCTCACAACCCCCACACGTTTACCTGTGTCCCCTGAGAAGCAGACGGATGCAGAGGTCTGAGTGTGCACATGCCACTAATGCACGGCACATCACACGGATGAGATATGTCAGGACAGTCTTCAAGGCAAGGCAAAGGATGCAGTTTGGTAGGTGGAGGGAAAGACCAGGGTTTATTCCAAACAGCTTTGGGTACAAACTGTAAACAACTTGACTAAAGACAAGACCCCAACAAGTGACTGGGGCACCAGGGCTGCCTCGTTCAGGTTAGAGTTTGCGGGTTTGGGATAGGGAGACTGAGATCCTACAACTAGAACTGTGATCAGGGCAGAGTATTTACTCCGTGTCCCACAAAATGCCCTAATCCCCATATCTTGCTTTTCTCAGCGAGTCTAGAGTTTGTCCTGATTAGTATGGGTAAACAGAATGCTCCAAAATAGGTGCACGAGGCAGAGCACGAAGCTGGCTGGGACAGGGACACGGGGACAGGGTGGGCACAGGGGGCTGGCGTGGCCGGGAAGGGGGCGCGCGAGGGGAAGAGGTTCACCAGGAAGGCACAGACTGCACCAGCAGGGATGGAACATCGGCACAGAATGGCACAGTAGGACCAGAACCGCAGCCCTTAGTAGAGAACGTCCTCAAAGCTGAGCAGCAGAAAACGGTGCAAGGCGCTAGGCAGCTGCAGCTGAGACAGGACCTGAAGCAATCGGCCCTCCAGGAAAGTCCTGAGCGTGCAGCGAGCCAGGTGCTGCAAGGAGCGAGGTCTTTGCTCCAGGGAGAAAAGCGACTGGTAGAAACGTGGGTATTTCTACAGAGAGAGAAGAGAGGACCAGAGGCAGATTAAGCTGAAGATATCACCCTGGGAGCAGAGTTAGAACCAGACACCCCTTTACCTTAGTCACTATGGTGCATCCTTCCTACCCCCCAACAGCAACCACCCCCATGCCCTGCAAATCTCCAACCAGCCCCAGCCCTGCTCCAAACCCCGCTCAGCCCCGTGCCTCCTCTGGCACGGCGCCGCCACAGCCTGGCTGCGTGTTCTCCAGCCAGCAGCATGCATTCCCTCACCTGTACAACCTCCACCGGAACCGCTTCCACCCACTCCTCGGAGACACGCACGTGATCGTAGCTGTTCATCAGGGCCTCGATGACCCGCGGGCAGGTATGGCAGTACCGCAGCACCTGCGCCAGGGAGACAGCAGATGAACACCGCCTTTGGGCAAGGTCCTGCAAGCCCCACCTTCACCTCCTAGAAAGCTGCACATACTTAACAACAGCCTTGGCAAGTCCAGGGAACTAACATCCTTCCCTCGTGCTGTCCCAGGAGGTCAAACCTACCCATGGTGGGAAATGCTGGACCCTCAGAGAGGGTGCCCGAGCCAACACCCAACGCACACAGCTGAGTCGCATTCAGCACAACAGGGTCCCACAGACTCTCCTCAGACACAGGGACTACGCACGGAGCAGGGATGCAGATGATCTTCCTCTGCCCCGCTGCCACAAGCGGCTCATAAGCAACCAACGCTCTGCTTTGTGCCAGGCTCCTTCTCTCGCATTTTGCCAGTTAGAGCACGAGCCGTTCTGGGGCCAGGACTGACACCCGCTTTGTGTGCAGCATGACGAAGGCACACCATGCCTCTGCTGAGGGTGCCCAGGGCTCTCAGGGACATTTTGTGCCCGTTCAACATGGGGCTGCAGAGATGTCCTGGACCTGCGCTGGGTGCAATGGGTGTCCTAAGAAGTACCGTCCCCATGTCAGCTGCTACCCAGAGCCCCAGGAAGGCATCGCACATGTGTTGTGCAACACCTCTGGTGTGTACCACGTCCGCGCAGGCAACACGCTGTCGCTGTGTATCGTACACCCCCAGTGCAGCCTTTGGAGCACGCAGCACCCACGCGTAGCCACACTGAGGCAGATCCCCCGGCTCTTGGCTCCCGCTCCCCATGGCCCAGGCCAGCAGTAGCTGTCAGAGTCTATTCCGGCTGTACGAGTGATCCTCATTATCTGGCGTTAATAGGAGATTAATTAGTGTTAATTGTTGATTTTCCTGTATTTTCCCAAAGGGGAGAGCAATCTGCTGATCTCCGGGCTGGGTAATTATTGCACTGCTCAGGAATTAAGACAGAAAATTAACCCTTTGTTTGCTGGTGTCTCGCAGAGACAGCATGAGCTGGAGGGGATGCCCCAAAGAGGAAACACATCCCCAGAGAGGAAAACAGCCAACACTTTCCAGGGTAAGTGATTATGGAAACTGGGCAAGTACAGCCACCCAGCTTGGCAGACAGAAGCAGGCAACTCCTACCAGAGAACACACCCCAGGAGAAACCTTCAGGGAATCCCAGACCAGTACTGCCCATTCCTTCCCCAGCCCTGGAGGAGGCAGGCAGGACAGCAAGCGTGCTGGCACAGAACAAGCCCTGCTGCAGCAGAAACATCCTTGCTCCCACCGGGGCCCCGATGCCCACAGCCTTCCTTTCCCTTCCCACCACACTGCTGGCGCAGCCGTGAGCCCGCACCTTGAGCAGGGAGCCAGGCCAGACGCGGATGGCTCCGTGGTTGAGCAGGGCTTGCACCACGAGCTCCGGGCAGTGCTCCAGCTTGTAGGCAGTTGCTTGCAAGATATTGTGCAGTGCCGTGTTGCCGCTGTAGTTCATGACGTTGACATTTGCACCCCGGGCCAGCAGTAACTCCACTATTTGAGCATTGGCATTCTTGCAGGCCAGGTGAAGTGGGTGCTGGCGGTCCCGATCTGCAGCGTTGATGCTAGCACCGCTCTCCACCAGCAGCTGGCAGACCCGGTAGTGGCGGTCCATGTCCTGGGGCTGATGGGGCTGAGCACAGCCAGCATTCAGGGGCGTCTGTCCCTCCTTATTCTCTGCCTCCAGCTCTGCCCCATAGCGCAGAAGCAGCTGGACGTGGTCTGTCAGGCCATGGCGTGCTGCTACGTGCAGTGCTGTGTCGTCTTCCTCCTCAGTCCGACTGTTCACGCTGGCGCCATGCTGCAGCAGCTGCTGGACGCACCTATGTGGGCCAAGATGTCTCAGTGACAGGCTCTCCTCTCCAGCTCCTATCCTACCTCCCCCTTGCCATGTCGGCTCACCCCACAGCTTTCACTTTTCCCCAAAAATCCCTGCTCCTCATGCCCTGAAGCAGTGGTTTTAAGCCAGGATGACAGACAAGCAGAGATACTGTCATCCCAGTTCTAGCCCATTCTCCACAGATCTTTAATAAAGTGTCATCACACCCAGAGTCTGCTCCCACACCCCTGCGGAAGGCTGTCTGCATAGCGTATGCCCTGCGCTTCTCAGCGCGAACCATCGGCTCGGCAGTGCTGGTGGGCAGCAAGACAGCAGCACCAAGCCCGGCGGCATCAGCTGAGGACCAGAGCCTGCAGTCATCTGTTGGACTGCAGGGGCGGCCCTGGTCCAGGAACAGGCAGCGAGGCCACCCCACTCCGCAGCCATTGCTGCGAGACAGCAGCCCACCCGCAGGGATGGGCAGGGACCCCTCCTGCACAGGATGATGCTCGAAGGGAGGGAGGCCTGCCATGTGCCCTGGGTAGAACTCACTCGAGGGAGTCGGGGCTCTTGCAGAGGTGCAGGGGCTTGTAGCCATCCTCAGAGACAGCCTCAGGGTCAGCGCCAAAGCTGAGGAGCAGTCGCACACAGTCCGTACTGGCCGCTGCGCAAGCCTCATGCAGGGCAGTCTTAACCCCTGGTGCGAAGTTGACAGCAGAG